AAAAAAAGAGCACAACAATGTCACTACTAGTGTTGGGTATATTATTTTTATATATATATATATATATATATATATATATATTAGTATACTGATGTTGTTATTTTAACTGGTATTGTGTTCTGTGTCTAGGTTGCCTGAAACAGCTCTCCATCTTCAAGGTGGACCAGAATAGACTGACCCACCTCACTGATTCAATAGGAGAGTGTGAAAACCTCACAGAACTCGTCTTGACAGAGAACCTTTTACAGGTAGGAGGATGTAAACCATTTACAGCAGCCTTTCACGCACTATGTATGCCCCTTAATACTCAAGCCCAATTAACGGTTGAACTTCATTAACATTTCTGCCCAATGTTAATGTTTTCTGTCTCACTCCCTCAAAGTCACTTCCTCGCTCGCTGGGCAAGCTGAAGAAGCTGACCAACCTGAATGTAGACCGCAACCGTTTGGGCAGCGTGCCCAAAGAGCTGGGAGGCTGCGCCAGCCTCAACGTTCTCTCATTGAGAGATAACCGCCTGGGAAAACTGCCTGCTGAGCTTGCAGATGCCACTGAGCTGCACGTGCTGGATGTGGCTGGGAACAGGTAAGCTTACTTAACCCCCTGAACTGTAAATAATACACAGACGGTATCCGTGTTAAGGTTAAAGATTTTAAATACAGCGCAAAAATTGGCTTTTTAGTGTTACAAGCATCCAGCCAGGAGACACTGCTCCTCCAATTTCGCCCTTTTTAATGTGATCAGGACAACAATATAACCTCATGTAGATGTATTTTCAAAACTATAGTGCTAAGTTATGTAAATGTAGTATCGGAAAATTCAAGCAAATGCATCATTGTGAAAGTGTCTTTTGGGTAATTTGCGAAAGGTTATAGAGAGAGCAATGTTTCTGCAGTGGTATGAAGCTTATTCCTGTGATTTATTTATCAGTACACATGATATATGAATGCTCAAATGCTAAAATTATAGAGTTTTGTGATCATCAATTCATCCATTTAGAATCATAAAAGTATAATGTGGATGATATTTTTCACTGAAAAGGAAAGATTGTGGCTCATCATACCTCATCCCTTCTTTTGTCCAGATTACAAAACCTGCCTTTTGCCCTGACAAACCTCAATCTGAAGGCCATGTGGCTCGCAGAGAACCAGTCTCAGCCAATGCTCAAGTTCCAGACGGAGGATGACGAGCGCACAGGAGAGAAGGTGTTGACCTGCTATTTACTGCCCCAGCAGCCTTCTCCGAGCCTAGGTGAGTAACCCTACATGTGTCATTCATCAGACATATATAGGAAAAGTCTTTTGTGCATGTGGCATACCCCGATATCATCAAGATAGTATGTTTTTGTTTAATTTTACATTTTATCAGACATCTATTCAACAAATTAATACTTAAATCTGTTATTTTGATTATATAACTGCTAAGATACTAAGATTGTAGTATGTACAATGCCTAACTTATTTGCTGTATTAACTGGTAGGAAATGTATCTCATATTTAGAGCTTTACAATTAGTGTTTATATAGTTTTTGTTTTTGTTGTAGCTTGTAAAACCACATATGTATGTATGTGACTTGACACAATGTGTTCTTGAAGCTGTACATTCAAAATGAATCCACAGCTCTAAGCTCAGTTTGACATCTTTCTCTCCTTCCCAATTTCTCTTGGTTTTCCACAGAGAACTTGCTGCAGAACAGTGTAGATGACAGTTGGACAGACAGCAACCTGAACCGAGTGTCAGTCATTCAGTTCCAGGAGGAGACCAAAGCTGAGGATGAGGACGATGAGGCTGCTGCAGAGCGCAGAGTGAGCAAGCAAAACAATACAGTGTCACTTTTTGTCCTCTTCATGTCATTTTGCACAGATCATTTTCATGTTTTGCCCTCCTACCTATCAGCACTGATACTCTACATCTCTGTTCGTCACTTGTTTTGGCTAATAGTGATTGAAAATGTAACTCTTAATTCATGTTTTTAACCTGTTTTCTTTGTTTCAGGGCCTTCAGCGCAGAGCCACACCGCACCCTAGTGAGCTGAAGGTGATGAAGAAGGTGATTGAGGAGAGGAGGAATGAAGCCTACACATCCAGACCTGATGGAGAGGAAGAGTCCCACGATCCACAGGTACATGCGTCATACTGTATAATGATTGTCAAGTCTGACAGTTATCATTTAAAGGTTTAGTTTTTATTGTCTATCTGGCTTTTGACTTGAATCACCTGGTACTCTAATACTCTAGGAAGTAGACAGAAAACTGTTTTAAACACAAATGTCACGTCACTGGTCCTGAATCAATCAAACTGATGGTTTTGGTTTTAGGAGAAGCGGCTCAGTGACCTGTCCAATCAGAGCCATGACTCCCAGGTGTCAAATAGCACACTGTCGGCCACCTCCCATGAGGACAGACACAATGTGACTGTGGCCTCGCAGAGGGAGGACCTAGTAGATGGCCACTCCCCTCAGGACGAGGAAGAGCTGGATGAGATGGAGGTGGAGTATATTGAGGTGAATATTTATATATCTGTATATTTTCACTTGGTTAAAACATCAAAACATATACAATTTACCATTTGACCTTCTAACTGAAAGAAGCTGTTCCCCCTGTTGATAACTAATTATATCTCAACCCCTCTTTTCTCCAGCCCACTGTGCACTTTGCAGAGGAGCCCATCATCCGTGGTGGGGATGAGGACGACGAAGATGATGGGGAAGATGGCGAGAGGAGCGAAGGAGAAGACGAGAGGCCGGCTTTTCCCGCAGAGAAGCAGCGTCTGATCAGAAAGGACACGCCACACTACAAGAAGCACTTCAAGATCACCAAGCTGCCCAAGCCCGAGGCCGTGGCCGCCCTGCTAGAGGGCTTCAATCCCGACAGCCTCAACTCTCCGTCACAGGCCGCCGAGGACGATCAGGACGAGGAGGAAGAGCAAAGTATATGCACCCCTCAGCACCATCACAGAACGGAGGAGCTTGAGGACAGCCGACACCAGGTCAACTCCAGTCAAGTAAAGGTAAAGGAGAGATCCCAGCAGTGGTAGGGTGCAGTGCAGGAACTTGGAGGAGTAGAAATTGTTGCATATTATAAGTAGAAAAGCGTTGTTTTCCTCTACTGCATTCGCACACGTGTAGAAATATAAGAAATATACAAGTAAGTGGTGTAGCAGGAAACACAGTATGCAGAGATGTTGTAACAACACACGCCAAATCAGTTAATTAACTCATTTTATGCTTAAAATGTTCTGTTGATGTTTTAAGAATATATCTGAATCAATATATGTTTTGCTTGCTCATTGCCTCTATGCAAAAACTGTATGCATAGAGCGCCCTTACCACCTTGCAAGTTGCATTCAGTTTGAAGCACTTATTAAGGACGTGGCATTGCATGCAGGGTCGCTGTGGAAATGAAGATGTCTAGCCTTGAGCTGTGGATCAGGGGCAGTGCTTTCCTCAGGAGTTGATTTTGTGGTTTAACCACAAACTCGCCAACAGTCTCGCCTGCTTTTTCTTTGCTGTGTTCCAAAGATGAGATGTCCTTCACCACATACAAACACTCAGATGTCATAAGCTGATAACACTTTCTAATACCTCACATCGCTCAGATCACGTGGACGCATAAACAACAAAAATATACATTTGTTGTCTCGTACTTGGAGACAAATGAAAGAGAAACCTGATTTTGAAGTCTTGTTTCCACATGCGATAGTTTCTTGAACTTTGTGCACTGAAAACATATGATATGGATCTTTTGACGTTAAAAGATAAATGTCCTCTCCACACAAGCAGCTGCAGGCCTCTCTTGCACAACACTGGCCCAGTTCAGTACTAAACTTCTCACCATATATATCAGCCATCTCCTAAATTTAATTGAATAATGACATTTTCACACTCTGCTCTTATAACACTGTGTGTGTGTGTGTGTGTGTGTGTTTGAAGTATGAATGGAGTGAGTGACGTCTGCTCCTGTGCCACTTATGAAAATGAATCTCCTTATTGATCACTAGTATTTGGGGGAGACTTGATTTATCACCCTGATTGTACAAATCCCCTTTTTAACACTGTGATCAGACATCATCATCTCACCAAATTTGTTTTGTGTGTGTTTTATGAATGTGGGTCTGTTTGTGTGGCTGACCTCAGACCACCCAGAACATACTGGCAGAGCTGGAATGGGAGATCCAACGAGTCTTTTTGTGTCATATGACAATAATCTTTTTTATGGGATGTTTAAATTATTGTAGAGAGTAAAAAAAGCTTCTTTGTTCTTGCACATAAAAGTCAGCAAGACGTATTTTCAGTGTTGCCCTGGTTTTCTTAAACCTTTTTTTTTAACTCTTTGTAGATATCTTGGGTTTTTATAGGCTCAGAGTACTATAACCTTGTACATTTTTTTTTCTTACAAAAGTAGGCCTGTTGCCTTAATTAAAGCTTGCTACTGGAGGAGTTGGCTGTCTGTGGTGTGGAGGCTGGGCTTATTCTGGTACGGGAGCTTTTGCCTTCTCTTGTGCGCTCTCTACACTGTGTGTTTTTGCACTGTAGCTCAGCTCCTTGGTCTTGTCTTTCCATCTCTGCCTGTATTTGCTTCTGGTGGCTGGGGAGTGAGTGTGGGATTGCATCGGCTCCAAGGTGGTCCGTCCCAGTGGACTTGGAAGTCCCCCAACCTGCAAACAGACAGTGGGTGTGTTTGTGTGATGTTTGTGGAAAGTGTGAGAAAGTTCTTTTTTCTTTTTCTTTTTAAGTGTGCTTGTGAGCATACTTTTATTTTGGCCTGACTAATCCGCATGCCTCTCGCTGGTTCCTGTCCTAACAGGGGGTGTCATTTGATCAAGTCAATAATCTGCTGATTGAACCTGCTCGAATTGAGGAGGAAGAGGTCTGTACATACTCTTTCCCGTCCGGTCTGTCTCTCTGTGTCCCTCACTCACCCACTCATTCACCCACCTGTATTCAGAGGTATAGAAAAAACCCACAGAAAATCCATGGTTAATCCAAGCCAATCACTAGGGACCCCCTAACCACAACTCATTTATGAGATGGCCAGTGTGGCAGAAGCTGGATGCGGGAATGAAGTAGCCATGTTTTATACATTACATTTATTCTTTTTAAACTCTTACATTGAGGTTTCACAAATGTGCTGTGTTTGAGTGCATCCTGGGAGTTTAGACTATCTTTCAGGACATTAACAAATGGTTTTTCTTTCTCTTAGTTGTGTCCTTTATTATTTAATCAGCTTTAGTTAGCACGGTCAATATCTTAATGATAATGGACTTAGATCCCTTAATGAATTAGCTAGTGTGGTTAGCAGTGACTAACTTACTCTTGCACACTGGATAACTATTTATTTTCGGTTAGGACTCATTATATGACAAACATATCACAGCTGTAATAGTATAAACTCAACACATCTTGTAGACGGGGCACCTCCGTGGCTCCAGGCGTCCCTGGCGTCCGCGGTTTAAGTCCAGCTGGGGACCTTATTTACATTTCTATCTCCCTGCTGTATCTTTCACATCTTGTAGGCTTAATTTGTAGATGTTGCCTGCTTATTAAGTTAGTTAATTCTACCCTGAAAGGCCGCAATAATTGACGATTATTAAGTCACCTTTAATATATTATGATCCGTCAGAACGGTATTTGTGAATCTGTGGGAAGTCTGCTCCATCTGTGTGGTTCTTCTCAGTCACAAGATAAAACATAATGTTTCCACCTGCAACATTGTTTATAGCCAGTAATGCAGCTCTTCATCTTACGAGTTCACCACGGCAGCTGCTTCATTTATCGTACAACCCTTGCAACATTATCCATTTAAAAAAAAAAGTGATCCTCCATATTTCTTCACAAGGAGTTACAGTGAATCCATTATTTCCGTGCTTACAGCATGTTGAAATAACTAGTAAGAGCTATTTGTCAGGAGGTCGGAGACGTACTCGTCTTTATTTGAGTTTGATCTTTGAGTCTACTAGATAAACAGTGTAAGTACATCTTATATATCTGAGTAACAGCATGCTCTATATGCTAAACGCCTCTTCATAATATCCATATCATTGCATGTAATGTAAAAAAGTAAAAAAACAGATTAGACTTTGCAGATTTGCACACTGCACAGCACTTGAAACTACAAATACTTTTTTGGGCTCCCTGCCAAAAATTAATTTGATGGAAACTCTACAACAGCCTCCTCAACTTGAACCATATGTCTAAAATGTTTACACATTTTAGGCCGCAGATAATTGTTTGCCTATTTGTCAACCTTTTTTTTTTTCTAAAATGCTGGCAATGCCTTAAAATAGCTAAAACTTTGACCGTAGTCAACACAGGAGTGTAAATCCCAGTCCAGCATCAGGTTCTGCCACACTGCCCCTCTGCTCCTGTACCTTTCCTCTGCTTCTGCTGCTTCGCTCCTTTGCTCCTCCTCCTCTCCTGTCCATGCTGTGTTGCCCTGGAATGAATGGGCTGGTTGCTCTGTGACGAGGCAAGTCTGCTTCCTCCAGGTGATTTTCTTTTGTTGCATAGACGGCAACTCAACTGCTAACCAGAGGAAGAGCTCCAGATTGATGAAGATGGATGAAGTTTACTTCTCAGTAGTCTAATTTTAATGTTATAAACCTGTATAGATTGCATGTGGACTGCCAAGACTTAACTTTTTAAATTGTAGGACATTACATTTGATATTTACTTCCTTAATCTTCTGTATATTGTTGTTGTTTTTTTTTTTAAAACGGGTGTTTTTTGTTGAGCTTGCGTTTTCCTGTTATTGTAGGTCTGTGAAGAAAACATGTACTGAAACTTGTTAGAAACATTCAAGTGCCATTTAAGTATCACATGAAAATTGTCTCTGCCAGTTTGAGTCTGCTTTGTTTGTTTAAGAAATTAGTGTCGTCTCATTACAAACAATGCTGGGCTATCCACACTACAACTCCAAAACCGTCTCCACATCCAGGACACAGCACACTCTGTTCATCTACATTTCCCTTTTTTTCCTTCCACCTGTCCCTCATATTTTTCCATTCCTCCCTCTTTTTGCATGGCTTGCAAATATACAGAATATACAGTCTGTTATGACTTTTAAAAACACTTTTTTAAAGTCCCTTCTCCCATACATACACAAGACACATTGTATGTTTTTAGTAGGGGTCAAGCTTTTGTGAGTCTTCTTAAAAAAGGGCTTCAGACAGTTTGTTCACTTTATGTCTGAAGTCTACTGTCAGTTAAGTGGTTACTGTTAGATGACAAACTACTACAATCTTTGTTCTTACTATATGTCTTTACAGCAAAATTCAATGCACAAAATCATCCACTGAACTGACATTAGGCTCCAGACAAGTCAACATTTATCTCCATCCATCTCTTGGCATGATGACAGGATGCTGCTGTGATGAATTAATTGACGCCACCTTCTGGCAGAAGGAGGGAGGTCACCCATAACTTATATAAAAGTTTAAGATGTGAAAATAAATGGCAATTAACTTAAAAAAAAAAATAAAAAAATTATGGGCTTCCCTCCCTCTCCATCTGTCCTGAGTTGAGTGGCGTTCAGAGGGGTTTCACTAGTTGTCGTGTTGACTCCCCCCTCCTTAACTTGCAGCACACCCTGAACATCCAGCGACAAACAGGCGGCCTGGGTATCAGCATTGCTGGAGGGAAAGGATCTACACCTTACAAAGGAGATGACGAGGTAAGACGTGTACCTGGAATCTGAATAGGTGCAAGAAATCAGAAGCCATAGATTATACAAATTCATTGTTGTCTTTTCTTTGTGTGTTCAGGGAATCTTCATCTCCAGAGTATCTGAAGAGGGTCCTGCAGCCAGAGCGGGGGTGAAAGTGGGAGACAAACTCCTAGAGGTAAAGTGTTTTCTGTTTGTCTTTAGAAACTCTTTCCTCAGTTTTCTAGTAGTGTATCAAGATACAGGGGTTACAATTCAATATATCGCCATGTATTGCAATACTGTAAGCAAGGAGATGTATTTCAATTTTAAAATAAAATTTTAACAAAAAGAAAAAGAGCACTACAAGCCAGTCATTCTCTCTATCCATTTGTCTCAGGTGAATGGCGTGGACCTCCACGAAGCAGAACATCACACAGCAGTTGAAGCTCTTCGTAGCTCCGGCGCTACAGTTTCCATGACGGTGCTGCGGGAGCGTATGGTGGAGCCAGAGAACGCCATCACCACCACGCCGCTGAGACCGGAGGACGACTACTTCCCGCGGGAGAGACGGAGCAGCGGCCTCGCCTTCAACTTGGAGACGACTCAAAGCGGGCCTCAACAGCGGCTCTCTACCTGCCTGATGCGAAACGACAAGGGGCTGGGATTCAGCATCGCGGGGGGCAAAGGCTCCACGCCCTACCGCACAGGCGACACGGTGAGAATGAAATGATAATTAGTTCATGGTTTCATCAGTCAAACCATTAAAAAATGCCAAATATTTTCAGGTTCCAGCTTAAACTTGAACGTTTAATACTTTTTTTTTTGGCCTTGTGTGATGTATGTCTAAATAACACGTTTTATTGTATTACATTGCTTTTCTGACAATTTAATGATTACTTAAGAGAATAATTAACAGATTAATTAATAGTGAAAATACTGAATTATCATCCAACACTAGCATGACAAGTTACACATTCAGAATATTTAAAGCTTTCCATCAGAAGTCCAAATCTAATCAATAAAGTCTGTAGTCGACAGAGATCATGAGATTACGTTTAAAGATAAATATTAGATCAAAGTGATGATCTGAAGCTAAAGACACAATCTACCATCCAGTCACTAAACGGCAGGTGTGGTCTTGAAGTTAGAGTGTCTCTGTCTCAGTCATCGTCTTTTAACAGCGTCTATTCTAGCCGCAGCGTTTACAGTCATCACCAGGGAGACGGAGATATGAATAGCCAGCCTTGACACCTGATAGGTCCGCTGTAATTGGACGGGGCGAGCTGTACATTTGGGCCAGCGCAGTACTGCATTGCAACTCGTGCAGGTCAACAAGCCAACAGAGAGGAAAGGACTCATAAACTTTAGGATTTAGGCGGGTCTGACTGTAAGTCTTGCCTCTTTTTCAAAAGCTTTTTGAAACGGATGCAGTGACTTGGCTGGTTGTTTGTTGATCTGAGGAGGAGTGTGCAGTAGACTCTGCATGTGTTTACACATTTTGTTTTGGCAAGGCAGGTGTTTTTATTTACTTAAACTGTGTAATTTATCTGAGCAAAGGGATGATGTGTCTTAATGATCAAATAATACTCTGTTTATCAGTTTTAATGTGTGTGTGCGGGGGGGTTCTTTGTTCATGTGTACAGCTTTATTTTCACAATTTGTGGCGCTGTGGGCTGCTACATAAAGCGTGCCAGCGGTAGTGAATACAGAAAGTCTAATTTTGGCCCAGATCCACACTGTGTGGGATATTACACACTGACTGACTGCTATCTCCCCTTCCAGCTCACAGTTAGCACAGATTCATCACAGCATTGCAGCCTATTGCACCAGTTTACCACTCACCCTGTCTAATTTGATACACAGGCAGCGGGGCCAGGAAAGATTTGTGGAATAAGTGTAATTAGCAACATCTCCTTTATCTTAGAGAGTGCATAGTGATAGTAATTTATCCTCAAATGTCCAGAAAAGTTGAAACATTTGACAATGTCTCGTCTGTTTTTAGGGAATCTACATATCTCGCATCGCAGAAGGGGGAGCAGCTCACAGAGACAGCACACTGCGCGTGGGCGACCGGGTGATCTCTGTGAGTACTACACACCCCTCCACATCTCCATCTGGGAGTCGTAGTATTCAGTGTGATCAAAACAGGCTTTCTTTTACAATGTTTTCATAGTGGTGAGAATGGGAATAATTTAGTTTTTTTCTCCTAACTCTATCCTTACATGATTACCTCCTGTAAGGATTCAAGAATGGGTTCAAATTGGATATATTATATCCTGGTAAATGGATGTTGGTGTTGTTCCAGCAGTTTTTGTGGAAGCCAAAGAACACAGCCTGATTGCAGGCTAAAGGAAACACTTATTTTATGTCATCATTGCTATGTGTTTCAATATTCCCATTGCGAATGTGCCTACAGCACTGCTCTCATCACTCATCACTCAAGTCAAGTCTTCAAGTGATATCTGAGATAGCTCAGACGGACTTGTGTTAGGTCCCATGCTGACCACATGCAGAAAATTAACTCATCAACCTTCACTCTCATACATCAAGACCATAACATGGCAGCTGAGGCAGAATACTAACACAGCCCTCGTACTGATTCTGACTCTCATCAGATGCAAACTGTGTAGCTGTTCTGGTTAAATAGTGCAGTACAGAGGTTATATGTTTCACTGCTAAGAGCTTCCTCATGACCTGTCCACGCTCTTTAGTTTCCTCCGCTGATTAAACTCCATGCTTGGCTTTGCTCTCCTTTTTTCTGTCACCGTTTTAGTAACTCTTGCATGTTTTTATGCAGTCACACTGTAAAACCAACTAATGATGGTTGATTTTGACGCATCCTGAGGGTTTCTCTCCGTTTGCGGAATGATGAAACTGCTTATTGTCTTAAAGGTTTTCTTTAATGTAAATCCTGCTCTCTGGGAATCACAGAAAACCTCCCTGAATTGTCCTCTTTGCTTTCTTCCCGGGTTTCCTCTTCCCTTTGGCAGTATTTCAGTTCTTTCTCTTTTGTCTGTTCGTAGCCTCCTTTTCTCTTTTTCTCTCTTTCTCACATTTTCTCCGTCTGCATGCTCACTAATGTATTAAGTGCATCTCCCTGCCTGCTTGGTGGTGGGTATGGTGTTAGGGTGGTGTGGGCTGAGCTTGTCGCCTCGCTGGCATAGTAGACACATCAGTGTGTTGCCATGGCAGCGGGCGCTGCAGCAAATCAGCCGATGGTAAGAGCTGGTACTGTCGGGTCAGTGCTGACCTCTGCTTGTCACTGTGGACCAGAATATAGTTTTTAAAATCGTGCATGTCTGAAAGATACTCCCATATCTAAAGGCCAGCGTTAGTAAAAGTAATGATTAAGTCATTCTTTATGACAGAGTGGTCAAAAGACTTCCCTGTTTGCCTTTGTTGACTTAAGATCAAACCTTTTGGAGAAATAACACACTTCCACTTGTGTTTTAAGTAAACAAAGGCAATAAGGGATTGAAAAGTGTTACATTAAAGGATAGCACAAGCAGTCCTAACTAAACTAAACTAAACAGAAGTTGACTTTTTGGGGTTTTCATGATTCTTTTGGAAATAAATAGCTTTGCTTGCTCGTAGCTCGCTGTTACCCCGCTCCCTCTTCCTCTCTGCCTGTTCCTGTTGCTCTGACCAGGTGCTGGGCTCTTCTTCAAATAACAGTACTCACTTTTGTGCACTCACAAACTCTCCGTGAATTAATATCAGAATGTTTGAGTTGTGAAAGTATTCAGAAATAATTCTGAGTAATGAGGTGTAGGATTAGATTAGAGGCGACTGATGGCAGCAGGCCGTTTTCAGCATGTTTGTTTTTTAATGTTCATCGTACCAATGGCAAAGGAAGCGTCCTGGTGGGCTGACACCCTCCGTGGTTGGTTTTACTGTCGATCCAGATCAATGGTGTAGACATGACAGAGGCCAGGCATGACCAGGCAGTAGCGCTCCTTACCGGCACCTCCCCCACCATCGCCCTCCTAGTGGAGCGAGACCCGAATGCACCAGGGGGCTCTCCAGGTCAATCCCGGGCACGAGCCCACTCCCCTCCACCCCCAGAACCCTCAGATTCACCAGACCAGGAGGAGGAAGGACTTTCCCTTCATGGGAACCACCTGAGCCAAATGGAGGACGAGTATCCTATCGAGGTGAGACCTCTTTGTACTAACTCCAGCACTTGAATATGCTGTGTAGCTGTTCCGTTGGATTAGACCATGCTCTAGAAGCCTCACTAAGGCATTCAGCGTTAATGTTTGTTCATTTGGCCCCTGCCTTATCGTTAATGCTGTCCAGTTCCAGAGAAGATGGTGCATGGTATGAAGGCTTGGTCTAATTTAAATAATGGTGTACTGTAGAGTGTAGCCTTGTAATACCAGCTGTATCATTCCAAGTTGTCAATAATGCAAAGATACTGCTGTTTACTTACTTTACTTACATTAGCGGCTTATGCCTGTAAAGAGATCCTTATGTGCATGCAGTAGGTTGGTTTGTGTTTATTAGACAAATAATACTGTAGTGGTAGACAGGACTGTAACTTATGACCTGATTGATTCACTTTTGTTAGATGTAGGCTTGAAATATTTTCTAAATCTCTTCCTACAACACATTTTCTACTTCTAATCCTATCAGGAAGTGACCCTGGTGAAGTCAGGTGGCCCTCTAGGCCTGAGCATCGTGGGAGGCAGTGATCATGCAAGTCACCCGTTTGGAGTCAATGAACCTGGGGTGTTCATCTCAAAGGTAAAACTTTGAAAGAGTTGTGAAATTCGTTGTTTTCCAATTTTGTGTTGTTGTTGTTATGTGTCTCACTTTACCATCTCATCACCAGGTGATCCCTCAAGGTCTAGCATGTCAAAGTGGACTTCGTGTTGGGGACAGAATATTAGAAGTGAACGCCATCGACCTGCGTCACGCCACACACCAGGAAGCTGTGCGAGCCCTGCTGGCCAACAAACAGGAGATCCGTATGTTGGTACGGAGGGACCCTTCACCACCTGGGATGCAGGTGAGGACGTCAGCTCAAACACATATACATGTACAAACGCACGCGTAACACAGGTAATTGCTCGCATTACCTTGCCTGACGAGTTGTGTGTATGTCATTGCAGGAAATTGTGATCCAGAAGCAGCAAGGGGAGAAGCTTGGAATCAGTATTCGTGGAGGTGCCAAGGGACATGCAGGAAATCCCTTTGACGCCACAGATGAAGGAATCTTTATCTCTAAGGTTCTGAAATTATACATTTTATATACCACAACTTTGATAGTGAATCATTTTATTTGTACATTTTAAGGTTTTTTTCACCACATATGAAGGAATTCGAGCCCAAAGAATTTCTGAACTGGTCTGAAGAGTAATGAAGCAGTGCATTTTATTTAAAGCCACATCTATCTATTCTGCTGTCGACGGAGGAATAAGATAATGCAAACTGCTGGTTAATAAGAGTTACATATAAGATGACATTAACAGGACACGTGTTGGTTCTGAATTACAATTATAAAGTTATCACAGGAAGTTGTAGTCATCAAGGTATCTGTACTTTGGTTGATATTCAAACAGGTGAGTTCGAGCGGCGCAGCAGCGAGGGACGGGCGACTGCAGGTTGGCATGCGTATCCTGGAGGTGAACAACCACAGCCTGCTGGGGATGACGCACACGGAGGCAGTGCGAGTGCTCCGTGCTGTAGGAGACTGTCTGGGCATGCTGGTGTGTGACGGCTTCGACCCACGAAAGGTGACTGCTGTGGAGGTACGACGTCATGAGCAGTCGGATTTAGACAAAATGTTTTTTTTCCATTTATAGAGACGTTAAAATGAAACAATACTGAGTTGAACGTGCTTATAGAATGAACCTAAATGTATATATATTCAGTCAGAATATCTAGAAAATAACGGATCTGGTCTGTAAATTGCCAGCAGTCTTAACGTTATGTAATTTTCTGAAAAGTTTTCTGTTTGAATCAATTTCCTAAACAAAACTCTCCTTTTTCAGGCATCTCCGGGCATCATTGCCAACCCGTTTGCAACAGGCATCGTCCGTAAGAACAGTATGGAAAGCATCTCGTCTATAGACCGTGACCTGAGCCCAGAGGAGATTGACATAATGCAGAAGGTACAACACAGATTTTACCGTGTTCTTTACACTAGTTATACATCTAAATTAACATAATCTGTGCAGTTACGGTCGGGTTATTGTGCAGTCATGAAGTGAACAGTGTTTGTTTGTACACCCCTTCGTCCACGTACCAGGAATCACACATGAATTGATGTTTTGTTCAGCAACACTGTGCTTCCACAGCAGTTTGGTGTCAGCAGGTGGAGTTTTCAACGACAGCGGAGTTTGACTCACTCCAACCACACATACCCATCATTTCACTACACCACCCAAAAAGTGCCAGCGCAGTTGTTTATCTTGTCCAGATTAGCTTTTGGGAGACTGCCCGCACTAAAGGAATGTAGGGGCTTGTGCGTTTATTGAATGCTAGTTTCTGTTGTTCCTCTGTCTGCACTCTGATGACACAGATTTTTTTTTTTTAGGTCGTACATTCTTTATCAGCGCATACACAGTCATAAAATAATTCATATGGAAAAAGTTACTCAGCCACGCAGTGTTTCCACTAAGATTTACAGGATGGCTAGTCAGCATTTATTGGGTTTGTAAGGATCTTAAATCTCTCTCTCCAGGAGTCTGAGATGGTGAGAGAGACATCACAGTGGGAGCGAGAAGAAATGGAGAAAGTGGTAAGTAAAAAAATACAATTCTATACTTTTTTTTTTGGGAAGGCTAGAGGTAAAAATGTCAGATCAGCAGATAGATGGCAATGCAGCGAGAGAAGAGAATAAAACATTTTCCGTCGTAGCTCAGAAAAAATGGCAAACACGAATCAGGGTGGAGCTTTAGAGTCAGAAGCTTGAGGTTGGTCGGTTATCGGGTGAATGAAGCTTCTCCTCTGCACCCTGTGTGGGTATTGTGTTTGACAGAACTATTCCTGCAATGTCCCACCTTGCATGCTTTTTTTCTGCTCCCATAGCTAATGAATAGAGTACTTTTTAATGTGTGCGGATTCTATCCTTTCTTTCCCTTCTGTTTTTCTCTCATCTGTCCTTTTCCTTTGGTGTGTTTGGTGTGACACAAAATCATCCCATCTCCATGCCACTTTCCCGCTGTTGTTTTTCTCCACTTCTCACCCCCTGTAACACTTCTTTCCTCTTCTGTAAATCCTCCATCTTCACCTCTCATCGCATTACTGTGTGGCTGTGTGTGGTTGGGTGTCTTCCCTCCTGTACTCTCCTCCTCCTCCTCCTCCTCCTCCTCCTCCTCCTCGTCCCCTCCCTTTCTTGGTGAAGGAGCGTATGCGTTTGGAGCGAGAGGAGGCAACTCGCCTGCTAGAAGAGGAGACTGAGGTGAGACACTCCTCATCTGCAGGTCTGCAGACAACCATCCTGTCTGTGCAAAAGGGCCACACGAACATGATTTCACCATGTTGCTCATTCTTGGTATTTCAGGGAAATTTTACCTTTTTTTTTTTTTGGGTTTTCTTATATAAATCATTTTAAACTACATTTAAACTGGCTTAGTTTTACTGAACATGTCCAGGTAGAGTACAGGTAAAAACGGGCTTACTTTATGGCAGATGGTGCTTCAACAACAGCAACCATTGGCAGTGTTTTTGAGTCGCAAGCTGGTAGGGTGGCACACCCCTACAGGTCGGTCCTGGTAAAAGGTGACCTGACCTAAAAATGTGTTAGTCTGTCTCTTACTTTCCTTCTTGTGCATTTAGTCTGTTGCTGTCGGCACACCAAGCCCATTTGTTTCTGCTGTGTTTACGCTACATACTGTACGTATATGTAAAACTGGCCACAAAGACATACCTTTTATTTTACCAGGAAATCCCACTGAGATCAAAAATCTATTTTATATACTTTTGTTAAATAAGCTACACTGAGGTTAGTCTACAACAATACTTAAATCAAATCTTTTTTTGTTGTCTTTTTGCTGGATTTTATGACAATCAGTATCACCAGACTTACCCTTGAATACAACCAAATAGACCAGGGCAATAAAACAATGGCAGTATGTATTGGCAGTAGACACTTCATCATTAGTAATAGGAAAATTGTTCAATAGAATTATTCATACTTTCACTTGAATGCATTAAATGCAACATAATGAATACGCCCTGGCTCATAAACACCATCATGTCTCCTGATAATGAAGCATGTCATCAGTCACAATCTGTTACATATCAAGAAACAATCACAGTCAGTACACGATTAACATTAACAATTATTACCTGTGTGCTTTGATTAATACAGTGGTTAAGTTCAACCTTCTCTTTATTAAAAATAGGCAATGAAAAAATGATCAGTAATTATCTATATTGACTGAAATCAATTATTTTATTGTGATAAAGCTAGTTCACATTTTCAGCATAACTGGATGTTTTACTTTATAGGAATGGCTCTCTACAATTCTATACAAAGCTTCCTCCAGTAAAACGACTTCGCTTTAAATAGATTCCCGCTTGTTGTATAATAAACCTCAGCCTTGTCCCCTTCTCACCTCTGTTGTCTATTTATTTCTGTAGAACATCGGCACTGGACCTCTAAAACTTGACTACAAAACCCTGGCTGCACTGCCCACCACCAGTCTGCAGAAGCTCAACAGGGTGAGACTCACTTTATGTTCTAATATCTTCAGACAGCAGCAGAAGATAAAACTAAATATTATGAATCCACTTACTTTTTAACATGTCTGACAGAGAGTGTAGTTGTGATTCTGTATTTTTTGTGCGTGGCTGTGTTGTAATGGCCTTCCTGGCTCAGAATAGACCTCTTCATGGAATCCATTGTTTTTATGTCCTGGGAAACTGAGTGACCCAGAGCCGACCAGTTGCTGCTCCAGGAGCAGGAATGTTAACCTCCATCCATACGCATAACCCCAACTCAACACATCACAGATGGTGGCTCCAAGGCCAAACCCATACAACATATCCGTGTGATGTAACTGAGTCCCACATCAATTAACAAGAGCAGATGTGACCTGGATTGAAGACATAACATGAGGATCAAAAAGTGATCAAGAAGTTTGGAAAAAAAACGTGAAGACCGAGCTCATCAAGTACAGAAGACCAGAAAATAATAAAAGCGGAAGAAAGACGATCAGAAGTGTCTCTAAAGTACAGAAAAAAGGGAGGGGATCGAAACGGAAACATGGCCAGAGGGCAGACACTGTGGTTGATACAGGGTGTGAGTGAGTGTGTGTGTGTGAAAGAGGTGGCGAGGTGGGGGGAAGGGGACAGCTGCCCACTATCAAACGGCCTATCCTCTGTGATATTTTAAACCTGCATCTGGTTCTGAACTGGATGGAGTCTCTTGGGTGGGTGGAGTGTCAGACAGGGAGGGGGATTATCGTCTAAGAGTGACAGACAAGTGTTTTAGTTGGAGTTCCCAAAGTCCTCGGAGGAGTACGTTTGAGTGGACATACGGCGCTGTCCTGCTACCATCCTACAGGTATTTCCTTTCTCGCATTTGCCGCTACTTCCGTCTGAAATTATTGTCTCTTTATTTCATTTTGATCCGACTCTGTGTCTGCGTTTTTATGATTTTTATGTCTTTTGGTTTGAACACACTTAGACTGTTTAGACCCAAGTATTATTCTGTCTTTATTAACATTTGGTTCACATTAACTTTCGCCCTGCTGTACACAAGTAGCGTAGACTTTAAGTAGATCGTGACTTTGTTTTTGTGCTCTACTTGTAGCTCTTTGGCCTGTTAGATTGTCTAGAAGAACTTAACCTACATTTGACATGCAGCTGTTCGTCCGGTGTGTTAGAGCTGGATTTTCTGCTCCAGCCCACGTGGTCCTGTTCAAACTGTATCACAGTGAGCCTTTATAACTGCTCGTAAGTTGTTACCAAAGGTTTAGCTAAAAATCTGTGATGGCTCTTGTTGAAAATGGTAGTTTAGAAATGTTAATAAAATAGAGTATGTTTTTAATGATAGTGATATGCTGCAAACAGGCCCTGGTTTACTGTGATTTAATAGGAGGTGAGGTGCAGAGCTGCCTTTTACCTTTTGTAACATCACTGGAAAGAAGGGAGTTTGAGAGTAAAGCTGTGGTAATGGTAACTTTTTTTTAGTTTATTGACAATATTGTGATGTATTTATGAAAAACAACATATATCCTTCTATCTTTGACAAGAAAAATAGAGTGCAGGACTTATTTCCATCAGTCATTTGAGTTTAAAGTCCACTAACCTTTATCACGACAGAGACAGACATTCAGTGTCATTAAAAAATATTATAAAATAGGAACTTAAAAACAAGAAAATACAATTCAAAATCCCTAATATCTACTTTGTTAATTAAATGTTCTTTTGAGAAGCAGTTGCCACCCTATTGTACAAGTAGGGAGTAAATTAGATTCAGTTCCCGGTTCCTTTGACATGCAGCTCTTCCCAGCATGGCCAGCTCAGCACGTTGGCATGCTGATGAACCAGCAGCCTCACACCAAAACCCCAGCTGTCCCGCACAGTCTGCGTCGGAGCCAAAAGGGCACTCGTTCACATTCCACCCCACTGACCCTCATCACACCACCGACTCTTATAGTCAGCACGTAGAGAGCCACATTACTGCCACACAATGCTTGTTGTATTCTTAGTCCGGCTATTTTGATTATCACCAGATACGTCAAGGTCACGTGGGATAAATTACAAAGTGGGTGACTTCTGTAGGTTGATTTGAGGCTTTGTAGGAGGTCTGTTTCAGTGTTAGGTATTTAAAAAACATGACACTTCTACGGTTGCGCTTACAGTATCAGGTTTCTTTACATGGGCTGGGTTAAATGTGGCATATTTTCTCCCCTCCTACAGTGACATTAACTGTCCTCTGTGCTCAGTACAGTAGGAGTTGAAGGTGTGCTGGAGCCTGAATGTCTCACTGTTCTGATAATGTGGTTATTTAAGGCAGAGGCCAAGAGCCTGGACTGTAGTAATCTGTCTAGTAGTGTACGGCAGCACTTAACAAGTCTTGAATGATGGGCACTGTGAAGCTTCAGGAAAGATTTAGTGATGTGAGTAACTCTTTTTAGCAACTAGAGGCTTGTGTGTCAAGTGTCTATTTACAGAAGCACATCTTAAGACAGAGGGAATTACTCTTATTTCTGGAATTTCTTTGTTTAATTTAGTGGTTTGTAATAGGATACTTCAGACAAAACAAAGCCACAGGTTAGCCAAACTTATGTTTAAGAGAAAACAAAATGATTATAAGAGAGAATGGTTTGTTTTATCATCTATTACAGTGTATAGACCAACATCCTGCTTTAACTTTGACCTACTGTACTGGAACAGTTGACATACACATACTTTTCCTGTGTGGGGATTAAAGTGAGCGCACCAGACATTACATGTAGTTGTCACACAGTTTAGTTTTTATCTTGTGTGTTCAGTGATTGAGGTTTTGACCTTTAGTGGCTATATTAGTATTCACAGATCACAGAGAACAATGTTATCATACCTGATTGAAAATTGCCAAACCTATGCAAATAGAATAAAAGGTGTAATAAGCTGGTATTCTCCATAAATCACCTTTCTCCTCTATTCTTTCAGCTTATTTTTATTTCTTTCCACCAGTTTTCCTGTTAGTCCTTTGTTATGTCAGTTTACTGTACTTGTCCTCCCTCTTTCCTTTGCTTCTGTCCAGTTCTCTACTTCTGTAAGTCTGACTGCTCCCATGGAGGCCCCCATGCAGGCCCAGTACGGAGCCCCAGTAGAGCCTCTGGGCTTCGGCTTAGGCCACCCCTCAAATCCCCTCAGCCACATGGACCCCAAGTCCTGCCACAGTCTGAATACAGAGCATCTGCTCCAGTCTGAACACGCAGATTATCTTCTTGGATCCCAGTTTTCCTCCAATGGGACCTCCACTACCGACAGTGCCGGCTCGTCAACCACCATTAACTCATCAACATGTGCAGCTGAAGAAGAGGAATGCCTGGTGGACTCTCAGCCTATCTGCTTCAAAGAGAACCCTTTCTTGGTGGCCAATCGCAAAGGAAAGGGCCGTCCGGCTGGAGAGCAGGTCCTGTCGGGGCCTCCGGTGGGCTATGGGAAGCCAGGCCAGCTGCAGCCCTGGTTGTTCAGCAAGGCAAGCCGCCTGCCTGAGTGTGGTTTGGAGGCAGCATGGTGTGTTACTGCGCACAGTGTGTTGTTTGGCTCACTTGTGTCACTTAAAAAGGATCATTCATTTTCCTCAAAAAAAACTCAAAACCTTAAGCACCAGACAGTAAATGTGCATATATCTTCCTTTTTTTTAAAAAAGAAAAAAGGGCCTAAATTCTCCAGTTCCAGCCATATAATTGTAAATATTTGCTGGTTTACTTAGTTTCCTATTGATTGTAAACTGAATTTCTTTGGGTTTTTAAATTGTTGGTTGGGAAAAAACGAATTACATTTAAATCATCATTTTACATCCCTCAGCTTTACTGCGCTTTATAGCAGGTTTCAACTTGTTGTTTTGCTGTGCGGTTGCAACTTTACTGTGGCCAAAAATTCATTATCGCAAGTTTAACGACGTCACCTTGGACTCTGGGAAGGTGGGATGAACAACTGTTTACCATTTTTGGATATCAAATCCTTACTCTTGGGTTTGTTATTAGTAGCTTTGCTGTTTGTAATGTGGTTAAAAAAAAGCTTTCTGTCAGCACAAAGCATTTCTCTCTAAGGAAGTGTGTGTCCAGGTTGTGTGTGTGTGTGTGTGTGTGTGTGTGTTAATCTCAGTGTATCAACCAGCTGAAGTGGTGCATGTTTTTGCCGTGAGCACAGTTCTCGTGGTACCTCATGAGGTATTTGGGCACATAGTTTGTACATAGTCGGGATCGACTGGAATGTCTGTCCCAGCAGCTGCGAGGAGGGGGTCAGAAGTCAAGAAGGATCACAACCTGCAAGCCGTACAGAACAGTGCATGTTTATGAAGAGCTTGTTATTGGTTGAATTTACTGGAAGATGAACTCTTCACAGGACTAACAAGTGAACCTTGTTTTGGTATCTTTATACTACACTGTTGACTCTTTCAGTGCAATGAGTGAAAGTGAGAGCAGCTGTTAAGTGTGTTTTTATTTGCTGTTTGATTTTTGTTTTTCCAGGCGCCTCCCTCAGATTTCACCAGGACGGAGAGCCCAATCAGAGAAGCACCGTACTCTCCCACGATCCAACCGGTGAGCAGCCCCAACATCCAACACTCCTCCAATATTCCTCATCTCCTCTTCCACCATTTATACTTTATTTTCTCCTTTTCCATGAGTCATTTCTCGACCTCTAGAATAGGTATTTCACTTCTGATCTTTCCTCCCACCTGTAGCCAAGCCACCACTCTACCCACAGCTCCCCAACATGTGCAGGCAGGGAGACCCGCTTCGTAAGTGGGTCTTGAGGCCCTGTCTGCTCTGGCCTGGATTTTTTTTTTAGCACATGCAGCGGCTGCTCTGAGCCTTCTGTCTGTCAATAAAACATGACTAGTTCAACTAGTGTGTCCGCCACAGTCCTACCAGTCTGAAAAGCATGTGACTGCTTCTCCATGGCCAGCTGATTACTGATGCATTGCCTCATGCAGACATGGATGTGCATTCATTGGATAGATTTTTGTCTGATTGTCCTTTTTAATGTGTCTACTGACCAGCTCGCACAGGACAGTAACAAAATAAAAAATTCCATCTATAAGAGGAATTTAGATATCAGTTTGGGAAAATGTAACAAATGGCCCACAATTGGTGATTAAAGGTAAACTCTGGTGGTGTCGCATTGTTTGGTAGTGTCTTTATTTGGCCTGGCATCATCCTCAAGACGCTTTATTTACTGACTGCATTCATTCATTCATCTGGATTCATGCATTTTATTTCATTTTCATTGTTTTATTTTCATTTTTTCGCAGGCAAACATTCATTACACCTCCACTCCTACTGCCAAGGACGACACTTCATCATCAGTGAGTGTCTGTGGAGCTTGAAGTAACTTTTATTGTAGATTAGAGCTGGACTGATCACCCTGGTTTTTAGTACATATTTGTTATCAGACACAGTGATTAAATATCCGCCCTAAGGAGGATTACATTACATACGTCTACAGTTTTTCTTTTATAGCAATGTATAGCGATGTTTGAATCTCAAAGAGCTCCTAACCCAGAAGAAGCTTTTTCATCTGATATTGTTATCAAATTACAAATTAGTTATTAAGCTTCAAAACACCATAAATAATCTGAATGTTAAATTATGCTCTGATTCATATTCACCATTAGCTCCCATTCACTTTGAGTTGTCATTCATCCTAAAGTTTGGTGTATGAATGAAAAGGAATTTGAGGTTACTTCTCACGTAAAATATAATTTGTCTTCCCTCCAGACGCGACCAGGTGCCATCCAGCCAGTCGGGCGCATGCGGCAGAGTCCCTCTCCCGCCACTCCGGAGGGCCACAGTCCCAACCCCTTCCAGCATGGCCCCTCCCCCTTCAACTCCCAGACCTCTGTAAGACCCCTCACCACCACATAGTGCTGTTTTCTCTCCACTCACAGCTCTGTGCCGCCTGCTCTGACTGCACAGCCCTAAAACACTCCAGTGGTGTCTCACAGCAGTGCAGCTGCAGATTATTGAGTTTTGTTTCTAGAACCAAAGACAGGAAGACTTGTTATTTGAGTGGGTTGAGTCTGTGCCCCCCCCTCCCCCCCGGGCACACCTGGAGGTTATGTGTTTGAACTACACCTGCAGACGGAGCATCCGGCCCGACTCTGAGCTCCTGAATAATACAGAAGTTCTCGTAATTGCAGCTTTCTGAAATGTGCCACTTATTTCTTCCTTTGGCAAGCAGCCTAGTCGGATTGGTAAATAACGAAGAAGCTTCGATTTCATCTCACGTCTTCCTGGTTGTTTCACAAAAGGAGCTCATACAGAAAAAAAAATCTGTCATGGCTTTGAACTTTCCAGGCCCTGCTGTCTGTCTTTCTCTGGCATACTCCCCTCCTCTCTCACATGAAACCAGCCGCCATGCTGTTCACCTGTTCTCCTCCACAGTCTTCTTCAACTTTGCTGGTTTTTTTTTCATAGTCTACCCTCTCCTTCATGTCTCTGTCTGTCCGTCCTTCCCACCTCCTCTACTTCCCCTCCTCGCTCCTTTTGCCATATAAACCTACCCCACCCTCCATGCCCACCCCCACCCTCTCCCACCCCCTGCAAGGCCTCGCGCCCCCTCCCCCACCTCGCCCGACGAGTTCCCCATGAATGTCAAGCAGGCATACAAGGCATTTGCCGCCGTGCCTCGCTCACTGGCAGTGCTGGAGCCGCCGCAGGTAGGCCGTGCTGCCCGGACTCCCCCGGGTCTCAACGACAAAAGCATGCTGTGCTGATTGGTTGGTCTCGCCCCCCTGCCCCCCCCCCTCCTGACTGGAGCAGGCTGTCATATAAAGGAGCCTGCGCCGTGTCGGGGGGCCTGTGACGTGCTGTGACGTGTGGAATGCGTTCATCGTTGGTTTTTGTACTTCAGTGCCATCTTCTGTCACACTGGTGTTGAGTCTTGATCCATTCGTCCATCCATGTGTGGCTCGTGTACTAATATTCAATCCCCCCTTTTTTATATATTGTATCCCAGCTGCTAATCAGTCTGCCTGCTCTGTATCTCTGTCTTTGTCCTCAGTGGTCAGAGTTTAATGAATTTACTAATACTCTGCTCATCCTGCTGTGCCCAACAGGACCTGTATGGTGTGAGGAACAATTTCCACCCGAAGCAACCTTCTCCAGAGGTAAGTGAACACGGTCACCAAAGGTTATTAAAAGATATTGTAATGTATTGGACCAGATATATATTACACACATACATTAAAGTATATTTGAAAAAGAAGGGGTCAAATTATATTCAAAGACTGGACATTAATGTGTTTACAATATCAGATATTCCTTTTGATTGAAGAGAGTGACACTATGATGATTCTCTAACCTTTTCTGCCATGCCCCCCTTCAGAAGCTGATAGCAGGCATAAGAATAGATTCATATAGAAATAGTGTGTTACAATATGAGAGGCATCAATATTAAATTAAGACTGTTTCATAACCAGTTAAAAACTCCTTGTAGTACATTGATAGCGAATCCAAAACGAATAAAAAAAATCCAAGTTGAATTTGAGTGAGATAAAGGTCAGTACAATAACACCAGCATGCTCTTGATTGGTTATTATTTTTACATGAATCAAATTCTCTCGCCTTATTTCCGCTCCTTATTTTTCCCCCGGTCGCCCACGCCCCACACTTTGAGAACCACTGCATTATGGGTTGTTTGTTGCCTTAATGTTGCAAGGCTAGTGATTCCATCTGTCGGGTTTGTTTTAAAGTTTTGCCCCAACAGTTTTAAAGAGGAAATAAATTCTTGATGGGTGAAAACGAGTGGAAATCTTCCTCCAACCTCTTTACTGCAGAAACCGATCAGGATTGGTTCCTGATCGTCTGTTAAGCAGCCACAAAATGTTATGATGAAGAGCTTTACAAGAGAAAAAACGTACTCATACTTTCATTATCTTGGGGGGGATATTTTTTACAGCAGGACTACCCTGGAAGTCTTTTCTTAAAAACAGTTTGAAAAGAGGGAGATGTGTTATAATTGGGAAAATGTGTTTAACTAGTGACTATTGAATCTACAGCTGCAAGAACTAATACCTAAGTATGTCTAGACATGCTCTTACTGTAGTCACATACTGAAAAAACAAAAACCTCACTGGCTCTTAGTCATCTTGGTCTGACAGTCTGGTGACGAACTATGTGGCCTTTTCAGCCTGAGTGGAACAACGAGGTGTTTGATGATGACATAGATGGTCAGGAGGGAGCCGGTAAGGGTCTGACCAGCAAGGTCTCCCCCCGTCGGGAGTATATGAGCCTGGCAGCAGTGCCTCGCCTCTCCAGGCCGTCCTTGGAGCTGCAGGTACCCACCGCCTCCATCTGGAGCAGCCCTTTTCTTTGTCTGGGCTGTGGTGTGCTTGGCTTGACCGGTGGTGGTGTCTCTGCTCCCAGAGGCTGGGAGACTGCCCGTTAAATTATCTTAAATCAGCTAAATGGTGCTGGGTTCTGTTTTAATGGCAAATTTTTGTTTTTCTTCTTCATCTGCCGTACTTTTTCTTCTCTGCTCTTTTGGCAAATGGCTCTGCAACAATTCAAAACGCAATAAAAATCAACTTCATATGCTTTTCAACAAATATTGTCCTTTTTATTTTGCTGTTTTGTTATCTTCCGTTTTGAATTCTGTCCTTGATTCTTTGTGTTTTTCTGTTTTAACTATACAGAGTCCTTCTCCTGGTGGTAAGGACAGTCCCGAGCAGCGCTCTTTCAGGGACCGACAGAAGTATTTTGAGATTGACGTGAAGCAGCAGACACCAGACAAACCCAAACCTCGAGTATCTCTTGTCGGAGAAGATGACCTCAAGAAAATGAGGGAGGAGGAAGGTTTGTCGGCATTGTTCTTCCTTTAGCATCCTCTACCAGTAACTACCAAACAACACCTGGCTCTAAATGTACAAACCCGTGTCTGTTCGTCTCACCGGCAGAGAGGAAGTTTGAGCAGCGGGCGCGGGAGTACCTGCTGGATGAGGATGAGGAGGATGAGGAAGAGGACCTGGCTAAGCAGATGGCACAGATGAAGGCCTCTGGCAAAGTGTTGCTGGATGGAGTGGAGTACAAAGTGGAGCCGGTATCCAGCCCATCCCAGCACTGTTCCACACCACCAAGCTACAACGTCACACCGCCAAGCTACTATGGCGGCTCAGGGTACAAAAGTTGTGCCTTATTATTACTTTAAACATGTTTTTATTTTATTTATTCAGCTAATTTTGTGTATGTTTGTGTTTGTAGGCCTTCCTCCGTTGATGGTAAGGGAGAATCTCAGAGGAATTCACTAGAGGACAGCTTCAGGCTGGAGCAGAGGCCGAACTCCATGACTGGGTAATTACATTAAACACATAAACATCTCTGAATGTCTCTCTGCTGTTGTTTTTGTCACTGTAGTCATCGCCGCTACTTGTGTTTCTTGTCAGTCTGATCCCCGTGTACCCCGGGGAGTCGGTGGCTCCCATCCGCACAGCCAAAGCGGAGCGCAGGCACCAAGAGAGACTTCGTATGCAGAGCCCCGAGCTGGCCGTGTCCCCTGACAAGGACCTGTCCCCTGCTGAGAAACGAGCTCTGGAGGCGGAGAAGAGAGCCATGTGGAGGGCAGCACGGTAAAAACACTTCACAACATGGCTAATGGGGTCTTTTTTTGTGGATTAAAACAAACTACTATGGCCTTCAGTAACTGTTTTGGTTCATGAACGGGGGCAGACGGGCACATCGTCCACATTAGTTGCGTCATGTGATCGTTTCAAGGCTTTGATAGGCAACATTTGCAGTTAATAGATACATTTTATATCATATTTTTCATATCTGCATTAATGTGGACAAAGCAGGAGTCTGAAGTGGGTAGAGAGAGGAAAGCATCAGAAACCTTTACTGTGCTGATAACAGATGAACACATAATAACCCACAGAAGACGATATGGATGAAGATGTTTTAATGAATCCTCACACAATCGCTTCTTTGTAATGTTGATCTAAGACTAAAACTAAATACCAAACAGCCACATTTGTCCCAAACATAAGTTCACAGTTGACTCTGACGCCATCCTGTGTCTCCTCTTACTTATTCATGTCTAAAAAGTGGATCTTTATTATTCCTGGCTCTCCTAAATGTGTCAGTGTTTTACTGTCCATTCTTTGGTTTTCTTCTCTTTTTCTGTCTGTATGCCTTTCTTTTCTCCCTCTCCTCCTCGTATTGCTCCTTCATCCTGGTGTACCCGTCATCCTATCCCTTCCTCCACCTCCTCTCTTTCACCCTGTCCCCGGCCTCGCGGGGCCCAGGCCCTGTGGCCTAGAGGAGGATGTTAGGCAGTATGAGCAGGACCTGGCTAAGAGGCTCTACCAGGCCAGAGTGAGGGCATCTCAGGGCACGCCCGAGGCCCCCCAGCCCCCCACCTCCTCTACCTCCTCCTCTGCAGCCTCCCAGCTCAGGTCTGCTCCTCGGCCCCAGTCGTCAGGGCCAGACGCACGGCATCGTGGGGTGTGCTGGGGTGCTTTGCCATTGGGGTATTTTGCTATGATGGCTGAGTCATGATTATATGTTCCTAATATGCATTATTGCTACTCGCTATGCTGACACTGTGTGATCATGTGTCTTTTCCATTCTTTCTTTTTTTCTGGTAGTTGCTTCTGTTTCTTCTCATCGTTCTGTCTGTCTAGCCTCTGTGCTCCCCTCCCTTTCTTCTCTCTCTCTCTCATTTCTCTCTTGTTCTCTCCTATTCTCTCTTATGCCGCACTCTTTTCATTTGCGCCTTGCTGTTCTCTTGATTTCTATATCTTTTTTTTTTATTTTATGTATCGTTATCTATCTATTCTAAGTTGTCATAGCTGTTTGTGAGTTGAGGGTAAGCTACTAGCAGTAGGTAGGTCCTTTTCCTGGAATGCCTCTTACTTAGGTCTTATATGTATATTTATATATATTCCTGTTGTGTCTCTGTCATATATCTCTATGACATATAAGCATCCCTCATATATATGTATATTGTTATGTGTATGTGGTGCTTATTCTTATCCACTCTCATTCTCCTATAGCGTTGTGTAGTCTTCTCTGTCAGTCTTTGTTCTGTCTATGATAGTCTTTCTCTGTTGCTTCTCTATCTATATTATTTTTGATCTGATTGGGGTTGTGTCCGTCTGTGGAATGTAGGTAAGGCTCTGTGGAGCTAGATGGCACTGAAAGATCAGGAGTGTGTCTATCGTCTCATATTTATGTCTCTGGACGTGTAAGAAACGCGCTTTATCCACAGATCCATGCTGACTGGTATGTCTCCATATCCTCACCCCGCCCCCCACACCCTCTCCCAACACCTATCGGAAGGATTCAGGGAAGCGGTTTGTCTGGATGAAAGATGTTTGTATGATAAACAGCCTTTTTTTTCTTTAATTAACTTTTTAACAGCAAAAGCAGTTTCAGTATATTAACCACAGCCAGGTTTCTGAAGTGTTGGGTACAAGATAAAGTAACTTAAAGCTCGTTACAGCTGTGGATGTTTCCGCAGCTACGAGGAACAGAGACTTGAGCATTTTTTATTTTTGGTTGTCTTTTGTCCCTAATTCGTGGAATATTTACAACCATACTATCATCCAAGACTCCTTTTACATATTCTGATATTTGACATTTTTCGTTAGATCTAAAGTCTGGTGTACTCTGCTCTAACTTCACACTTGTCTGGTTTCCCTCACAGAGCTCAAGTACCAGGAGACTAACCTCTACCAGCAGGCTGAGTAAGCACTACATTCTCAATTTACCGTTATCTGAATTTTGGCTTTGACTGATTTTTCCACTGGCCGTGGTCAGTCGTGGAACGTTTACAGTAATTCCTTGTACGACTTGGAGAGCTTACAGTCATCAGTGTTACCAAATTACTGGAAACAAAGCTGATAACGCTGACTGTGCAGTTATAATTTCATGCGGGCTGATGATTATAGCTATATATCTTCTAAGACTGATTGGATTTACAAGCTGTGGAAAGGGTATATATATATAGATGATTGTCTTTCAGAAAACACATGGCATTAAATCCACCCATCCTTGTCTCTATTTCACTCAGCCACAGCTGGCTGTTTTGGATCACCATTAGCTCTCTGTCTGTCTCTTTTCCCACCTCTCCTTCTATATATTCCTCAATCCCTCTCCTCTTCTCTTTCCTCTCCTCTCTTTGACATTTGCTTTCTCCACACTTTTTCTCCTCCTTCAATACTTGTTGTCCCCACCCTCCTCTTTTTCTTCCTTTTTTCCTCTTTCCTCCCCCCCCCCCCCGACCTCTGCTCATTCCTGTTTGCTATCCTTCTAGTCCCTGTCGTCAAAGAAGTTTGACTACCGACAGTTTGCTGCCATTCCTTCTTCCAAACCCGTATACGACATCCAGGTATTGGCTGCATGCTGAGCTCCCGGGGGCCCCGGCCTCCTCCCTTCCCCCTGGCTTTCCCTGCTGCCTCCCCCCTCTAGTTCCTCTCTGAATCAAGAGGCATCAGTGCAACTGTCTAGGTGTTTGGCTCAGTGATTGATCAGCACTTCCTGCTCTGCACTATAGTGGTGTGGCTCACTAACTCTCACTTGCACAATGAAGGTAGACTTTATCTCCAGAAATGACGCACCAAATCAGCACCTCGTGTTTCTGGCTCCCCCTTCCTGGTCTTCCACTTACCCACTCACAAATGTAAGAGCATCTATAGCAGTAACCATTCACACCCATCAGTCTCTCAGCTGACTAATCCATCCCAGACAATAACACTGACAGACACGTTTTTGATCCCACTAACCAGAATTGGTTCCGGGGGGAAATGGCCACAAACTCTGCATCTCATCCACTCTCACGTTCACTTCCATCAGCTGTCTTGTTCCACACACGGGTCACACATCAGGCAGAGGAATAACACGTCCTCCATTAGATGTCCTCTCACGCTCTGGCTTTTAAAACACTGATCTGCTGAAGGGTTTCCTCTGCGCTATCGTCAGGGGAAGAAGTTTTGTGTAGGTTTGTGGGAATTAAGTTGGTTTCTTCTGTGTGGGAGAAGAGATGGGAGGGGAAGCAGGGGAATCCTGGAGTGGTGCTGGAGTGAGCAGAGCTGATCTGGAAGTGGTCTTTAATTAGTTTTGGGTCCAGTATCTGTGGTGGTCTGTGTCACTGTCAGTGTGTGGGGTCTCGTCTGGTTTGGCTGCTGCACAGTGACCTTGGCTTGTTTGTATTCTCCTTTTGGTGGATGTATTTTAATGGACATCATTGTAAGTGTTTGCATAATGTTTCAGACTCTTCTATGAACTGACCAAAGTTGTTAAAGGGCTGTGTTGATGTCAGTAAAGTGACTGTTACACACACACACACACATATATACACACACACATATATATATATATATATACACACATAATAGGCAGACCAGAAGACTGGAGGGACCACCACAGTCTGCAAGGTGAGGGTCACATAGTAGCAGAGAAACACTTATTATGAAACTATATACAATATTTTGTTAATGAATATTCTAGCAAACATTTAGGTTAAAGTTGTTAGTATTTACTTTCCAGTTTTTGTGTCACACTTAAATTCTATAAGCAAATAATTTCCCTCAGATTCTTCTCACCAGAAAGACAAACATTTGTAGGAATATCAGATCATAAAGAAGACACAGTTCAATGCCACTGCAGTTAAAACAACATATTTTCTTTTTATTCTTGCTGAAATTTGACAGTTGTGACGTTTTGTCATTGCTAAACGAAGACCTTGCGTGTCCGGTCACACTGAAAGAGGTTGCACAGACAGTCGTTACCATGTTAGCAGATAGTGTTAGGTAGGTCACATAATCCTCTGCTTGCAGGTCATAGCGGCCCCTTGAGAGCGTCCCTAAGTGAAATAACAGCTTCTCAGCACTGATAACAAGGACATTATTATTGGAATATAAAGGCATCAACACCAAATTATCATTCTGCTTGGTTTCCCGTCGTATTGGTGAATCTTGTCGGTGCCGTACTGTTGCTCCTGTTTGCTGTCTCTTTGTGGATGTGCCTACACGACACAACAAACCCCGGAACTGATGCCCTAACTTAACCTCCCTTTCCTTTAACATGCCAATCTCTCCTGGGGGAGTAGTCAAGTAGTTGTACTCCGGCTTTAGTGGCAGATTGTCCTCTAAACCCGGCAGCGAGCGGCTGGCACGTCTTCTCACAGTCTCCCTTGCTGCCAGTTCCCCTGCCCGAATGGTGACGGCTTCCCCTGGGATACTGGTTACTGAAGCACCTGTGCCGCTCTATTATTCACTGTCTCTTCTTGTCTTCCAGTCCCCCGACACAGTCGATGACATGCAGTTCATCGACGACGGCTCCAGCAACCCAGGTGAGTACCGCAGCTATTCAGTATTTTAATCCGTATTAGAAAAGGTTTTGTGAAAGAGACGAGTGAGAAGATTTTATTACTTTAATTTCTTCTATCCCCTTTGATTCAGGTGACTACCTGGGATAAGCATCTCTTATTGGTAGGATCCTGCGTGCATGTGTTTTTGGGTCTGTGTGTGATTGTACGTCTGAGTGTTTATGGGAGAAGAGTGTGTGTTGGTGTGTGCATTTATCCTCTAACCTGCCAGCTGTGTGGCAAACTGTGACTGTTGGTTCAGATATTAAGAGGGGTCTGTCGAGCTGGGTGTGCTTCGCCTGCTGCTGCCCACCACCACATATGAAGCAGCAACTGATGTCGAGAAAACAGAAGAGAAAAGTGCCCTTTACTAATAATCTCACACTAACTGTGATCCAGACGATGCATGAATGTGTTTTAAAGTGTTGACTGAAGTGATAGAAACTGAGTTAGTGCTTATCCACTGTTGCAGTTTGCTGCATTTTTAAAGAGACTTTTTAGGGAGTGTGTAGCTTTTACTTATTATCCAAAGGTTCAGCAGTGGAAACACTTCTGCTCTGACTTTGACTCTGAGGGTGGATGTCTACATATACTTGTCTCCTTTCATCCACCTGCTCTGTTGGCACAGCGATACTTTCTCTGCCTGAAGTCTTTGTCCTGCACATGTCAAATGCAAGTTAAGAAGAGTCGATTGAGTTCCCTGGGTGCTTCAGAGTCCTGTCTGTTTCCAGCTGCTGGTTTAAATGTGGGGCTTCTCTCGCAGGTGTAAGGGCTTCGTCAACCGCTCCACAGCTGCTGTTGCAGAGTGCTTGTACGGTGAAAGAAAAGAAGCTTAGATGTGTTGATGTGACTTAAGTTCTGTCTGTTTTTGTGGTCTAGGGCCCGCTGCGAGCCCTGAGGCCGAGGTTCCCGCCGCGCTGCCTGCCACCTCGGCCCTGGAGGAGATGGCTCTGTACAGCAACAAGCGCAAACTGAGGCAGGGCCGCCGCAGCCTGGAGACCGCCGTGCCCACGTAACACCTCCCTCGGAGAGAAGAAACCCGAAGACAAAAATGCGAACACACAAACACATAAAACTACACTGTGGAACACTGGTAACGCGTGGGCACGTCCACAGGAGTCACTAAACACTACACAGTGTCAGTAGAGCGAGATTTACTCTCCTATATATAACCACTGCAGAGACTACGATAGGCACCACACATACACACTCACATATATCCTGCGTGCCAGTCTTGCCTATACAGTCTGTGGATGAGTCGGCAAGTTGCTCAACAGTCCCTCAAGGGCAGGAAAGAGCGCGTGTGGTTAGATAGGATTGCTACTTACAGACCGTTCTTCTGTTTTTTTGTTCTACACTCGGTTTACCTAGTAGAAGCTGATCTATTTTAAAAAAAGGAGGTGACCGAAGTTTTTAGTTTTTGTTTTTTTTAATTTTCCGCACCTCCAAATGATTTTGCTGTTAAAAAAAAAGAAAAAAACACCATACTGGAAGAGAAAAGAAATGGGTCATAGCTATACTAACGATATTTTTAGGCTTTCAGTGAACAGATTGTGAAATGTCAGGGGTTTCTTGAGACTTGGGCGGACAGGAGTGTATATATTAATTGAGGAGGGAACATGCTGCTACCTTCACAGTCACAAGAGAGCTTTTTTAAAAAAAGGAAAAGAAAAACCATATCTTTTTGCACTGCCACTGATCAGCTTTTTTTAGAACATATATCTTAAGTAATTTATTGTTTTTAATCCATTTATTCAAATTGAAGGCCTTCTATTTTACACTGTTTTAACCCATCCAGTCCTTTTCATTAAAAACATTTCAATGGCAGTTGTGGGTCACGAAGTCACGGCTCTCAGCTGCATATCACTTTATATCATTGACTTTATACACACGTATGAATTCCCCCAGGGGTTTTTTGAGAGGAGCAAATGTACAACTTGGACTGCTTAGACAAAGTATAGCTGTTGCACATTAGAAATAAATCTGTCCAGATTTATTGACGGTGTTACATTCCCCTTGTAGAGAATAAGACAACACTGGAGGCAGCAGCTTTACAGATGAACCGTTCAGAATATTAAAGTTTGGCATTTTAACGTTTAACTAATTAACGGTACTTACCCTGTCCTGTTTAGGGTATTGTTTTTATTTTATTTTATCAATGTGAATCATTAATATCTAGCCTTGAATTTTCTGGAGGGATTCCAGAGTGACGTGAAGGTAGCAGGTGTTTTTATTTTTCTGTCTATGGTTAATTTAAATCTGATGCCACTGAAATCATTTATTATTGTGTGAATAATGTACAAATACTGAAAGGAAAGCAAACTTTGGGTTTAGAAACTGAGCCAGTCTTGACCTAGACCAAGCGAGTGTCTGGACTGCTGACGCGTCTGGGTTTGGACGGGCCTGGTATCGGGACGCTCTCTGCATGTATATTGGTTTGTTAATGGGAGAGCTGAGAGAGAGCAGAACCGATTAGAAATCCCTCTCAAGACATTGATCTCATTCATTCAGTTCACTGCTCGACATACCGTCAGTTGATGTATCTGATGGGTATTTTGGCAGAATCACAGCATAGTAGCATTTGTGTTAATTTAATGTAGGGTCTTCTAATGATAGCTTTCCATGTTGCTCTCACTGACTGAAATTCAGTTTGTTTGATAACATTTGCAATGGCTGATATTTCCTTTTTTTTAAACTTACAGTAGGTAAATCTTTTTTTCAGATGGGTTTCACTACATTATTAATGCAGTGTTTCAAGTTTTCGTGTTTATTCTTTTGTCTTGAGTTCTCTTTGGGGGCTTTTTTTGTCTTGCAAATAGGTCTGAGGGAAAGGGTCAGAAGTCCTAGGGTCAAGGGTTAGAGCTCATACAAGACTGTAACTAGTGAATTTGTACAACCAAAGAAGTCTATTTTGTGGTTCAGGAATAATAAATTTTACTTTTCATTTAAGAAGCTGATTCATTGTGTTGTGTCTTTTGTGCAGAATTACATTTCATCACATTGAGCACACGTGGACAGTTCGGTCTGTACATAAAACTCACTTATGTAACAGGTAGAATTGGAGGAAGTCTTCTGTGTCCTGACGAGTTCCTCTGCACTGGAGTAAAGACCAGCGCCCTGCTGTTCCTCTGTAGAGACAGAACAGTGTATTGATTGTTTATCTCTAACCATAGTTAATTAGCAATAGATAAGTGATTGGTGTGGTGACATAACCAAATGTTATTTGATAAAATAAGCAGTTCACTGGATGTAAAACAGGATGCGACACCAACCCTTTTCAGCGTTCTGTAGCGAGCGTTGTAGAAGGACTCGGAGCTGGGGTTGTGAGGAGAAAGCTGCTCATCTGCATCCTCCTAACATCAGCAGGGAACTAGTTAATACCGCCTTAATAAAAAGGTGATCACAACATTTCCAACAAATGTCAAACAAAAATGGTTTCCATTGCTCACAGCTGAGTGGGAGTTCAGGATTTGTTTTATGGAAAACGATAAAGAATCAGTATTTGCTGTTGTAAATGTGAGGCGCACTCACTTCTGTGAGGGCCTTCTCTGGAGTTATGTCCAGCTCCTCCTCAAGTACCAGGAAAGACTTCTTATACCAGTTCTCAAATTCTGTGACATACACGAGTAATTTTATTATTTAGTGTCGTAAAGGAGCCAGTTGTTTGAGCTACAATAGAAGTAGATATTTGGAGAACTGACCAGAGAGCAGGCGCACCCGGCACTGATCCACAAGGTGTTGACAGTAGTTGACTTCTGCCTTGATGTCACCCAGCACATTGTATCTCTGCCGGTACTGGGCCTTCAGCTCTCTGAGCTTCTTCAATAAAGTGGCCTCTGGCTCCTGCAGCTGTGGCTCCCCTTCCATAACCAAATACTGACCTTCATACAAAAACACAGCATGAAAAAGAAATATAGTAACCTTTTAAATCTCCCAGGCCTTTTGTCAGGACAATACAAACCTTCTTCAGACCAGTTCGGACTGTTAAAACACAAAAACCTTGACACGTTTTAGTCAAAGGCTTATAACAAGTACTTAAACAAGAAATGCCTCACCTTTCATGGGAACTTTAAGAGCAGCAAAGCACAAATTAAAGCATCTACCACTTTCCTTAAGTGTTTCATTGATGATACAAACATTAGGAGTACCTTGGTCTCTTCTCAGCTCCTTGTGCTGCTGTATGGTGGCTGTGGTGCAGTCGATCTCTCTCTTCACAGCGTTGACCTCATCCGTGAGCTTTCGAAGAAGAGTGCAGCGTTCCAGCAGCACGGTTTTGTTCTCCTTAAGGATGCAGTTTATTTTGCTGCCCTGTCCCACCTTAAAGACCTCAAAGGCCTCTTCTTTGGGCGGAGGAGAGCTGAGCAGCACAGGCAAGTATTTCAGTGGAAAGAATATAAAACAACCCGGCACATTTCCTTCACAGGGCTACCAAAGATGACTATATTCATATTAAACTCATACCCAGGGTTGAAGGGTTCATTGCCAGGCGGTTGTGATTCCTGTGTGTCCTGGCTCTCTGAGTCTGGTTCCTGTAACTCCTGATCCCTCTCAGGTGTCTGGACAGAAATCAGCTTTGATTTGGAGGCACTCTCTGAACGCTTCCTTGTAACCGGACTCCCAGCTCCCTGTCTCTTATTTTGGCTGGACGGTCACATTGAGTGAGCCATTAGGAAAACCATTTAAAAACACTGAATATCAACACAAGTGACTGGCTTCATTCGAACAGGTTCTCTCACCTCGGTTTTTCCCTAGATTTCTTAGTTTTGGCTTTGGTCGAACTTGGCTGGTTGGCATTTTTTGTTAACTGACCAACCTCCACATCCTCAGTGCTTCCTGTGGTATCCCACTCCTAACAAAGGGGGAACAAACCAGCAGCTAATCAAAGCTCAGTCACAGTGAATTTTTCACTCAACAAGCCGTCGCTGATTTGACAAATAGATCTATAACTGCTATTTTCCCTTAACCGTGAATCAGATGTTGACTGACCTTGTTAGCAGCTGTGTTGGCACTTCGGTCTTTCTCTATCAAGTTGAAGGTCTGAGCCTTCACTTTCTGCTTCTGTTCCCTGCTCACACACACACACACATAAACATACTGAATCACTCACCATTAACAAATAAAGCCTGGTTCTAAGTTTAGTCTATATAAACACTGCATTTTGAAGTTGCAGATTTCAAAAAGGTAAATAAGACTCACTGCACAGCAAGCTTGAACTGGGCGAACACTGCTTGGACCTGGTTGATACTGACGATCTGTTACGGCAAGAGACAAATTTAAAGCCTTTAAAAGGACAATTACAAGCCACATTTTGGTGTGGCAGAGGAAGTATTAATAACTGTGCTCTTGGTGATATTCTCACACTGATTTCCTCCAGGCTTCCCTCTAGGTATCTCTGAACCTGGCTGTTGATCTCAGCCAGCTGCGCTTCAGACAACGACTCATACGAGATGCTTGGCCGCTTCGCCTGGTGAAGGGTGAATGATAGGCTTTTAAATTCTGACATGAACCAGCTGAAATGTGTTCAAATAAACGTCCTTTTCCCTTTTTTGCAAATAAAAACTGTCATGGAAAGTTTAGAATTTGCTCCTGCAGATGAGCAACACATTGAAAACACTTTATAAAGGAAATGTGTGCTGTTTCACCACTTTCCTGCCAGCTCTACTCACAAATTTATTGCAGATGGACAGTTCCTCTTTCAGCCTCTGTATATCCTTCTGAAGTTTTTTGATGTGAGCCTAATCACAACAGTACATTTCATGAGATTACTCACTGACAGAGAGTACAACACGATGCAGACTGTAAACAAAAACAACAATAGTTCCTCCAACGGTAGTTTTTGTGTCATATTATGCGTTGTGCGTGATATGATGTGAACTCACTGCTGGATCCATGTGTTCATTCACAGCAGGGTCAGTCCGCACACACCTCATTCTGCTGGCAAAACGCAGAGTAGAAAGCTGCAAAGAATATGAGTTATCATCCAGAGCTGAAATGCCACCATGTGCAGTAAGAAAGAAAACTGCTTTCTGTTTTATATCATATGTTCCACTCCTTACTGTTTCTTCTATCTGTGCAGCCTCACCATAGATGTTGGCCACAAGCACAGTGTTGCAGTTCCCCCCTACAGAAACAGATAGGATGTCTCACTACAGAGCAAAGGACCACTTAGACTATCAAATATCAGCGTTGTTCAAAAGACAGAGGCCTGGCAGTCTCACCCAGGGAGTCTTTGAGGGCATGTGTGAGTTTACTCTGTCTGAAGGGAACGTGGTCTCTGCGACGGTCCGCCAGGGCCACGATGGCCTGCTCCAGGAACGACAAGGACTTGTTGATGTAGACGGCTTCTTTTAACATCTGACCCTCTGACTGGAAGCAGAGGAAGGTGACAAGAAGTGGATGAAGGTTAAAAAGGACCCGTGTGTGTCCCCCATCTAGAGCCGGTGTTTGATTATTCTGTTCTGGGTTACTCTACAAACATTTAAAGTGACCCACGGCATCTATAGATATATAAAAGTCTGTTTTTAAGGTAGCAATTCTTATTTTCAGGTGATTATACACATATTATATTCCATTTCTCACAATAGATCCTCCTAAATGTTACACACGGATATTATTTTTCCACTTCCACTGGAGGATCAACAAATTCAAAAAGGAACTTCTAATATAAGCAGCCACACTTAGCGATAGAGAGAATGGTACCAACGTCCCACCTGGATGAGGTCTAAGTGAAACAACATGTTTTGAAAGCAGTAAAGTCACGTGAGACATTCTCCACCTCACCCCAGTCTTTCCCAGCCTCTCTGACCCAGCCAAATCCACCAGGTTCAGCTTGGAGGTGATGTACTTGGCGTCAGACAGGGTGCGTGAGCGGGACTGTGAATGAGAAAGTAATGTTATCCTACTTCATATTGTATGCGATTAAAAAGGTATGTTCAAGGACCAAGAACAGGAAACACTATAGTCAGCTGTAACTGGACTCGTACCTCTATATGCACAGTGAAGATACAGTGGGACCTGGAGGAGTTCCTGTTCAAGGCATGAGATCCAATAATGCGATTCATCTCACCCTGAGTAAAGAAAGAACAGCTTTATGAAGGTTCGGCTTTCTTTTTATTCATCCGTAAAAATGACTGAAAGAACAAACACATTTAAATGGGTATGAAATAAAAACCATAGAGGAAAAACAAACAATGTATTTCACAATACAGACGGAAAAAACATTCGACAGCAGCACAAACATAAAAACATACAAAAAATAATTCAACTTTAATTTTAACATCTACAAATTCCTGATTTTATTTTAATATTTCGTAAGGGATGAGACAACAACAGGTTGTCTGCCACATGAGCAGGGGACCCTCAGCAAAATATAAAATAAAAGAGGATACTGGAAGTGTTTTCTGGTCATATAAATTGAATCAATTCCTCACAACGACTTCCCAGATGGTTCTGTGTGTAAAGTCAGGTTAGTAAAGGCTTCAGACCTCACACACACACACACACACACACACCTCAAACAGGAGGTTGAGGGCCTCCTCCTCGCTGTGGACGAGGTGAAGAGACAGACCTCTGATGAACACCCCTCTGCCGGGCTCCTCCATCACCACCATACTGTGAGGCGGCGGCGGCGAGCCTCGCAGAGACGACAGCAGGTCCACCAGGGTCTCGTTGTAGATCTCCAAGTAAGACAGGTACACAGAGAAGGCGTGCTCGGTCCTCTTCTCCACCTCCTGAAACACCTGAGAAAAAAGATAAACTAAAGTGGAGCAGTCTGGGTGTTTTTCGGAGGTTAACGTTTTCACATAACGACTGAGCGACTGACCTCCTGAAGGGCCCGAGGAATGACGCCTCTCTGCTTGTATGACTCGGTGGATCCTGTGATGGTGTAGGTCTTTCCTGCACCTGTCTGCCCAAAACACATCACAGTACCTGAAAAACACAACAGGAGACACTAAACACACTACACACACACACACACACACACACTCCTCCAGGATAAAATCAGGATTGAGTCTGCAGTCAGGAACAGTTGACAGGAGTCACATCGATGAACCGCCTCGTCACTTTACACCTGAACTTCTGTTCACAACTGTTTTACATCATCAGACACTTTTAAAAACTACTATAATAATGAGTTTTTTATTTTTA